TTCGCCTTGTTTAGGCTTTGGTGAAGTAGTTGCTAAGGATACGTCAAGCAGGCGTTTAACATTTGGTTGGACAATGATTGAGTCATAGGTCCTGGAGTGATGAGGATCATGCATCATTTTAATGTCAGTTGCCGTATTTCATTCATGCGAATGGCTTCAGTGGCATACCGATTTTTCTGATAGAGCGCACTTTAGGGCAATCGATCCTAAAAATTCAATACCAGCCCAAAGATTTGAGCACATAGGCATTTGATTTTTCTTTCTTACATCGATGACCACAATGTTGGAAAATACAAATTCGATGAAGCCGATAAACGAATGATCAGACTATTGCCCAAAGACAATTTCGGCGGTTTCTAGCGAACAACACATCCTCTAGTGCACATCTAAGTGCAAGTGACATGGAACGCCGTAGACTGTCTTTAAAGCGTTAGGAAGAGAATGAAATATCTAGTTGTTGGGAATGAACAGAGAATGATGAACTAGAAGTTGGGAAAATGCCACTTTGTAGCTGTATATCAGGACATAAAGTAATATGCATTATTATAATTAGACGAAGCCCCATTTTCTTCCATTCCGCGCATCTCATCAAACTAAGCGCCTTTATCAGGTTCGCTGCATCGGTTAAATATAACGCGCAGAAAAAAGGCCCGTCCTGCACACTGCCCGTGTAACGGCATCGCAGTCACATTTGACATTTGTCTTCGCCATACCTAGTTTAGTTCCAATCCTACATGGTTACTGCCGAAAGAATAGCATACGTGATAGATTTCACCGCTAACCTCAGGTGCCGTTGGCCGCTTTTTATTGAGCGCTTTTATGACTTAGACAGTTTGCGCGTTACGATTTAACAGTTTCCTGTCTTGAGGTTTGGAATAACCATGCTGCTGATCAAACTCCGAGCCCGCCGCGAAAGGCCGCCCTCGCGTCGGCTTGTGTGAGCTCACAAATTAAATTTAATTTCCACAGCCGCATTCACACTGCAAGTAAACCACCGCTTGGATGCTTATATTCGGATGTGTATAGTGAAACGTCAGGAACCAAGTTATACACGAAAAACCAGTAAATTATGGTACATCAGGCAGAGAAAATGATTTTCTTCAATCAGTCATATTTTTGTAGCGTCCATTGAGGTTCAGGTGGCGAAATACACCATTTGCATTTGATGTTATCCTGGCATCCCACTCACTCTCCATCCTGTTGAAGAAGGGTGAACGCAGGCTGGATGAATCTGCTTTTAAGCGGACTTTATCCTCGAGGGCACGTCGAGTAACAGCCACTCCTGCAACGCAAATGAAATAAGGCGATATATGCAACAGAGATGAACAGGCGCATATTCTGCAATATTTTGCAGCTTGTTCCAAAAATTAGGAATGCTTAAGCGCCTTAATTGTCAGCACTGCAAGATATATTTTCGAGGGCTGATCGCTGTTATTAATGTCCGTATACCTGGTTAATCTCTCATTGGTAATCCCTTTTAGAAAGATAATCATCTTATATCAAAACCTTCCCTATTTATGGGCTTGAAATGAACTAATTCCTTTCCGCATCAATGGATTAAGTGATAAACTCGGATAAAGCGCGAGTCTTAAACATTCGCACGTTGTGCAGGCATGTTATTGTGCTAAGTACGAATTCCAGGGCAACCGAAAAAGTATTGCAGTAAGAACGCTTTTGCCTTCCATGTCGCTTGCCAAATGCGTTCAAATTTCCTCCGATTGTACACACAAAATCAGCCGTCGATCGCGGCTTCAGCCTATGCACAAGTGCAGTGCGATCATCTTTTGGTTTATAATCTGGTCAGTCCCCCAAAGCTTGAAGGTGCGTTTGATCAGTTCACACTAGTCTTTCACGAAAATGTTTTGAACAATCATTTATTGTGACAGGCTGGATCGTTAACCTTAGTTTGATGGCTGTTCAGCCAGCATTCGGAGGTCCCGATTTTGTTCAACCATGTAAATTTGCTGGCTGTAATATTTCTCCCACCTTCATAATGAGATCCGAATTTCTGGTTTAAATTACGACATTGCCCTTTCCGGTAAAATATGGTTTATTGTAACCCTTGAGAGCTGTCGACATTGACTTTGTACTGACATTTTCAAGCGTTAACTGCACCGGGGTATGTGTACTATTGAGTTACTGACAAATGTCGTTCAAAATGAACGCGTTAAACGTGCTTGTTCGTGCATCGAAAACGAATTTTGTGGACGTCTTAAAGGACGGCTCAAGGGTGGTAAGTTCTTAAATGAAGGCGTGGGACGATTCAAACACCACGTTGGTGAGGCGTGTGCCTTTAACACCTGATACAAGTTTAACCGTTTCTTTGTAGCTCAAAACATTCCACAATGAACACGTGATCCATTCCGCAACTGCACTGCTTTTGTGGAGACCTCGGACCCGCGTCACAATAGTCAACGAATACCAAGGTATCAAACTAATCCATTAATGTGCTCTAACGATTTTACAGTCGCTGCAAAACACAGTTCAGTCTGACGGTAAATAAACTTGCATGGCGTTTTCCTGAATTATATTGGCAGTAAACAGATCTAGATGCATTCACGAGAACCAAATTAGTTCACCACAGGACAGCTAGGAGCAGCGCATCAATACAAAACTGCGCGTGCAATTGGAATCGTTGTTATGCACATCGGTGTGGAGTGAATAATAAATTGTTCTGTGCGGCGCAGTAGCACATGCTCGGGCTTCAAACTTTTCTAGAGAAATTTATCATAAGGCTCAGGCGGCTCCATGCATCATTGGCTAATGTGGAATAATCCACCGCCAACATTCAGGTCATAAAAAACCAGCCACTTTTCCCAATGTAACAAGAAAGAAGGAGATGGCTGAACAGAATCCTACTGCCGTCGAAACACCTGAATGTAATCTGAATTGCCATTTCTATGCGATCTTTCCACAGCGGCCACCAAGTTATCATCTCCTTAAATGATGGATTTCGGTATCGTCGGATATGTAGACAGCTTAATTACATTGTGAGACTACTGAGCTCTGAACCCCAATGCTGAGCACCGGTCTCATCCAAACATTTACAGGACACACCAGTGTTCCGGCAACGGTGAGGTTGACTTAGTATGTAGTGGATAACGTGAGCAAATACCAGTTCAAAGTAGTGAAATCAAGTGAAAAAGAGACGAGATGATACAACTCACAGTTCTTTGGTACAGTTAGTTATTACCACCACAATAAATCCAAAGCGATCTCCTTCCTGGAATCTTCCTTGATATATTCCTAGATACTTTCTATCCCGTCGTAGTCTGAAAGGTAGATCACCGCTCGTTAATTCACTGCCAGCGTAATTCGACAC